AGGGCTCTGCTGGGGCCGGACACCAGGTCCCCGGGGAAAAGGGCAAGGAGCAGGCTGAGTTTGACAGGACGGTGCAGCTGCAGAGGGTGGTAGACCGAAGGTCGGTGATTTCGGATGAAAAGAAAGTGGCCCTTCTCTACCTAGACACTCAGGAGGAGGACAGTGAGGGACGCTGGTTTTGATGAATACTTTGTTCCCGGTGGTATCTTACAATCCGAGGCAACACACACACAGGCCTTTACTAATTGGAAGGAGGGAAGCTCACTCTTGATTAAGACGCCCCCTTTTTCTTTCTCCAAAGAGCGCTCCAGGCGATGTCAATTTACTCTATAATCTGTAAAGGTTTCAAGTTAATTCACGCCTTTAAAGGTGTTGGGATTTTATTTTTGAGTTGGAACTGAAGACAAATATGTTTTTTATCGTTTTAGTCTCCAAAGTTCCTTTTCCTGGAGTTTTCTCTTCACTGCTAGAGACAATTTCTACCAGTTTTGCTCCTGCTCACAGAAATGCCTCGCATCTGCCTAAAATTATAATTAACTATCCATACGGTCAGATGCCTATATGGTAACAAGGTAAAAGTAATATATTTACGAGTCAATCTTACTTGCATGTGCTAATATGAAATAAAAAACTAGCATTGAAAAGGAAAAATGTATACGCTTTTCTAAGCCTTCTCGAAAAGAAATCCTAGGAAAGAAGCAGCGCTTCCATTAAAAAAAAAAAAAAAAAAAAAAGCTCTAAATGATTTTTTCTTTAGGAAAAAGTTAAATTCACTTTAAGACCTGAATGAATTGCTTTCTATGTGCAGAGCTTTAAAAAAAATATATATATAGTGTTTTATTTATGGAGAGAAGAGCCTCAGCCTATGGTGATATTTCAAGTCCCTAATACACTTGCTGTGTTTGCACAGGTCCCAGAACCCTGCACCAGTCCTGCGTGTGCAGGGGAAATGATTCTTGGGACTAGCTTCGAGTATTTTCTTTTGCAGCACTAGGTGGTTAAGTAGCGCACGGTCTAAATACTCTTTCTTGTTACAACCCGAGTTCTGGAGTAGCCAGCTCCTATCAGAGTATTCTCGAGCTTCTCTGCACCCTAGCCCTTAGCATCTAAACGTTTAATTTTCCTGGTGGGAGGCAGACCCCGAAGACCATACAGAGAACGCTGATGCTCGGATGAGAACTTGCTTCCCAGATGGTCGTGCAGTTATCCCTGGAAGCACAGGGCGGACGGTGCCTCCCAAAGAAGCCCTTTCACCCCACCTCGAAAGGGGCCAAGGTCTTTCTGAGCTCAGAGACGTCGCGATGAAAAACCACCACCAATCTCAAGGAAGTTTTTGAGTTTTTAACAGAAATGATTACAGCTGGGGTGTTTTGGTCGGGGGAGTTGATACTAATGTTGAATAGAAGAAGATGTTTTAGGGGAAGAAGCTGGGCTCCCCTCTGGTTGCCCAGCACTGAAGCACCCAGGAGGGGCCCCCGGAAGGCAAAGGCCCTGCCCTCCTGGGCCACAGGATGCTGACCTTCACATCCATACGGTCGCCTTTAAGACACTAGAGCGAGGGTGCTTTATTGGGTTTGTTTTCTTTTACATAAGGGCATTGCTTTTAAGGCTTCCATCTTCAGAGGTAGGGCCTCATGCAAAAATAATATTTCTCGCAGCAGTGTTATTTTAATCCAAGCTCGTTTCTTGCACATAAAGTCGAACCTGTATTTTCTCTAACACAGAACCTAGAGCTGCCGGTAGTGAGCTGAAGAATAACGATCCGAGGTGACATCAGCCTCAAGTGGGTTATGGTGATGGGGGTGGTGGTTATGGCACGAGGGGGGCGGGGTCACACAGTGGCTCTCCAGCCCCCAAGACCTCCATCTCCTCGGCCTCCAGAAATGGCCACAGCAGAGAGTTGAGGGAGAGTGCATTTTCTTAATAAGCCAAGGAAAAATGCAGCAAAGCTTTCAGGGTGATCTGTCTTATAAACACTGTGAATCCGGGTGTAGACAAAGTTGACTTCCAAGTTTAAACCATTGTTGTCGGCCAGATGAGCCAGTAACTGTCACAAACTGGTACAGAGGTGACGGCTTTGCAAAGACTTCTCGTTTCTGATACAGTCAAGGATGGGCTGATTTTCTGTTAGCCGTAGTGGGTGATGGTGTTTGTAGAAGTGATTTATTGGTCAAGGGGACAGCCTACCGGTTTGATGGCAAGACAGACTGAGGATGGGGAGTCTGTTCTGTGAGTCCGAGTGGGCTTAGTTTTATGTCCCTCTCCTGCCTTGTGATCTGGTAAATGAGTGCTGACAGATTACTAATATGACCCACCTCTATTTGGAAAATAAGTATCTGAGGTCTTAATTTATATTTCCATGTTAGAACACGGATCTTCAAGGAGTAGCCTGCCAAGAGTATTCACGGATATGGACTCCCAAGCTATCTTTGGTTGCTCAGTCTCTGGATCACCCAGGAGCAGGGCAGGCCCTCCACACTGTGCAGATCACCCCACAGCTCCGGGTCCTTTAAAACCAGTCGCTCTGGAGGCAATAGAAATCAACTTTGGGGGTGGGACAGAACCAGTATTTACCGTTGTGGAGACAAAACCATATTAACAGAATGCTTTGCACCCTCCCACTGGTGGTTTTGATATTGTGTGGTTTCCAGTGTATATTTAGGATGGAATCATCGAAAAAGCTGATCTTTCTAAGCTGTTCCCTACCGAGGGAAGTGTCACAAGAATGTATAAAAATAAAAATCTAAGAAAAAAACCCCACCTTGTTCCTGGAGAAAATGAATGTTTTCTAGTAGGTGTTTTTGTGCTTTCTATTTAAGCTCTAATTAAAACCTATATGTGTTTACACGCATGGTTTTTTTCTTTTTATTTTTCTTTAAGTGGTGGCACAGAATCACTGGGGAGACTCTCAGAAGTTTCGGTTCCTTACCTGAATTAGAACTTGGTGGTGTTCACACAGAATTAGAAAGCATGGCGGACAGAGCAAAAACCAGCTGGCTTGTATTCAAACACAGACTGGACAGTTTGTGGTAAGAATGTGGTCGTCACAGCCTGGAAGGCTAGTGCTGTAGGGTGACCAGCCATCTCGTTGTTGCCTGGGATGGAGGTGTCTCCCGGGACACGGGACGTTCAGTGCTAAAACCAGGACAGCCCAAGGCACACCAACATGATGGTTCACTTAAGTGCAAATTGGAGGGGTTAGTAAGTCATGTCTGTTTCTTGGTGCTTGAAAAACTTGGAGTTGTTGGAGACACAGAAGAGTTATTAGATACCCTTGCTTGGTGTGTAACTTTTTACCACAAAGACCATGAATATCTATGGTCTTCCTCTTGTGTTGAAGTTAACACATTTAATAGATGGGAGACATTTGGGCGGGACGGTCCTAAGTTCATTCTTTCCTGGGGTAGGGACGAAAGTTTTTAAAATGCATTTTAGTTTCTGTGATTCTAAGACCTTCTCCTCCAAGAAATACAGAAAGGACGAAGTCACATCAGAATTCACTTTTTCCCCCCCAAAAGCCCAGCATGGACTCCTGTCTGCTCAGGCTGCAGCAAGAGCAGAGCACGGACTGGGAGGCTCACACAAGGGACATTTCTTTCTCCCAGTTCTGGAGGCCGGAAGTCGAAGATCGAAGTGCTGGTGGTTTCGGTGCCTGGTTGGGGCTCTCTGGTTGCCCGACGGTCGTCTTGTGTCTTAACGTGGTGGAGAGCGATCGTGTCTCGTGTCTCTTTTGATCAGGGCATTAATCCCATTCACGGGGTCTACTCTCACGTATTCATCACCTCCCAGAGGCCCCACCCCTAGTATTTTCACACTGGGGACTAGGGCTTCATCATGAATTTTGGAGGTACACATTCAGTCCCTGGCAGACTCCAGTGTGGTGTATACTTAAAATGCTTATTCCCCCATCCACGTTGAAACTCGTATCTTCAACTAGATGGAACACTTGGTGAGTAGTGACCACGTCTCGTGCCTTCCTCCCACTACAGGCCTACTGGGTGAGTGGGTACCAGGGGTGGTGGTCTGTGTGGGCAGCTCACAGCTTCCAAGGGGGACCAGGGACCCTGCCTGTCTCTCTAACCCTGTCATGAGCCTTTTTGGTTTATTTCCCCCATCAATTCTTGAGGTGGCATCCTGCCCAAATGGAACCAGAGTGGCTTTGGGTTTCCCACTGGGTGCTGGAGTGGAAGGGGGCCCAGGCTGCATCCTGCTGCCATCTTAGCACCAGCCTGCAGCCTCGTTGGACCGCAGTCCGTGGGATGAGGGTGGGAAGGAGAAGGAGCAGCGCCACCCACAGCCCATTCCCACCCACTGTGTACTCTGTCCACCTTTATCCAGCACCAGCTCTCATTGTTGACAGCGTGAACAAAGGTGCTCAAAACTTCCACTCTGCTTTTCCGTTCTCGAGTGGCAATGGCCTCCCCCCGCAGGAGACTGAAGAGCACTGTGGGACATGAGCGCTCGTCCCACTCCCACCCTCCCCACCTCACATGCCGAACCCAGAGAAAGCTGGGAGAGCAGGGGGCCAAGGACTGGGCCAACTCAAAAAAAAAAAAAAAAAAAGAAGCTCCCGAGGGCAGCCATGTTTCTCCTGCCCGGAGTAGAGGCCACGGGAGTCAGCGGTCCTCCCCCGCAGCCTCTCCAGGCCGGCCTCACTCCTGCTCATCTCTCTTCACTCCCTTACCCCTGCCTCCCCTGACCTCTGGCCCGTTTACCACCATTCACTACCTGCCTCGCTGTACTGGGCTCTTTCCCTCTGCTACCAACTAATTGCACCATTATGTTTAGCGTAGCGTCCATGTTGGCTGGCAAGCTCTGAGGGGAAGGGGACGGTGTGTCTTGTTTACTGTTGTGTCCCCAGCTCTCACTGGGTGTTCAGCCACTTTTAGTGAATGACTGCATGAGTGAAGAGAAGTTTCTTCGTGCCCCTCTCTAGGCTCCGAGCAGCTCTGAGGCAAGCTTCATTTTATTTTTTTACTTTTTTATTTTTTTTAAAAAGATTTTATTTATTTATCCATTTGAGAGAGAGAATGAGACGGGGGAGGGTCAGAGGGAGAAGCAGACCCCCCGCTGAGCAGGGAGCCCGATGTGGGACTCGATCCCGGGACTCCAGGATCGTGACCTGAGCCGAAGGCAGCCGCCCAACCAACTGAGCCACCCAGGCGCCCCAAGCTTCATTTTAAAAATACATACCAACCCCAGTACTCCCAAGTTTCCTCTCATTAGCATTTTATTCTCAATCCCTATTATCTTCTATAAGAAAGGGCTTTTTCCAGAATTGTATTGCTCCAAGTCTTGACTCCAGATCTATGCCAGGGGCTCTCCGTCCAGATACTGTACATTGTATTCACACACAGGAAATCGTAAACTTCTGAAGAGAAGCCTTGCAACCCCAGCGGTGCTGATGGGTACAAGTTTTTGTTGGCGAGAAAAACCACTTGGGCGGCAAAAAAGACAAATTCTTTATAAAGCACCAGATCACCCTGGAGGGTATCCACCGTCCAAACGTGGCCCACGGGAGGTCTGCAAAGAGCAAACCCTGACCGGCTGTCGGATTCCATCTTCTTGTTGGAGAGGCTGATAGGGGACCCTCGGTGTCGGCGCCCAGGCATGACTAAAGCTCTCTCTGGGGGGGCGGGGGGGCGGTGCTCAGTCCGCCGCGTTGGGCCGGGCCTTCCCCAGCACAGTGTGCGGGGCCACGCCGGTGTAGAAGGCTGGTTTGGCTTTCGGGGCCTGCCTAGACTTCACGGCCACCTCTGGGGTCCTGCCAAGGAGCAGAAGGTGGGGTGAGTGTGGTGCCCCTCAGACCTCCGCACGGTTCCCCCCCGGCCCAGCCCTTGCTGCGGTGAAGGGAAGCCTCACGACTGTGAGCTACAGGTCACGAAGGAGCCTGGGGAGGGAAGATAAATGAGAAGAGAATCCGGGCACAGGATTTTTTTCTCCCGCTTTCTAATTCTTTGTGACCCTTCTCGCTGAGCTGAGAGAATCGGCCCTTGGCTGGCTCAGTGAGCAGAACACAAGCAGAGAGGTTGGGGCTGGAGGCCTTGCCGGCTCAAGGCCGAAGGGGCCCCGGCTCAGGGGGTGGGCTCTGAGACAGTGCCCCCTGCTGGCTGTCTCCTCGCCTTCCAGGCTTCCATGATCGTTCCTTGGCAGTCTGCCCACAGGCTCTGTGAGGTGTAGCATCTCTACAGCGGAGCGTGCGCCTCTTCTCTGCTCACCGGCTGCGGAAGACCTGGGGTCGGCCTTCAAGGTGAAGTCAGAGGGCTCTCCGGCCCCCCCATCCTGACAGGCCAGCCGGCCAAGCTAGAGCACTGCGCCCTTGCCTTCCCGCAGGGGAGGTGACCTGCAGGCGCTGGTCTGTAGGAGGAAGAATCCCAGTGTGTTTCTGACATTATTCAAGAGCTAATCTCTTCTTAGTATCTGGGCAAGGGAAGCTAGTTTACTGGTCCCGTATAGTTGATGAGTTACAGGAAGTCAGTTAGTAAAACTTCCCACGGAAAGTTCACAGAACCTTAACAGAACCAGCTTCCTTCGAGATCGGAATGGCAAAGGAAACAGTGCAAGCGGAGGCCAACTCACTTGGACAGGACGTCCACCGTCTGCTGGGTGGCCAGAGTCCTCTTGTCCTGTAGTCCGTACAAGAGCGTCTGAATCTGAAGACACTGCAGAACACCAAGTAGCGATCATGAGGTTGTAACAATGTCACTGAGAGCGTTTCTCAGGAAAATCAAGTCTCCCTTGAATGAAATAAAGACCCATGCCTGACAGAACTGGTGCATGCTCAGGGTTTCTCAGGGACAGACCTTCAGGGACCTTCAATCTGGATGCTCTGAGGGATCCAGAGAACACATGTAAAGTTTTAACACTATTTTACAGAACTCCCTATGACTAGCTGTATGCGAACTATGTTTACGTTCATTTTAGAAAATAAAGGTAAGAACACTGGAATCGACTGGGGATGGTCTCTAGTTTCCATTATTAAATGAGCCTTATAATAGCCCAGAAAAGTTTTTTAATGCCTTTGCTTTTTGTTGTTGTTGTTGTTAAAAAATGCTTTATATTATATAGGCTTTTTATATTCATTACTATACAGTAATTTCTTAGGATATTTAGGAGTTAACTGTTCAGTTTATGTCTTACCCAGGGCTAACTTTGGCTTGATTTCTCCCCTCTGCTTATTGGGCTGCCATTTATTTGGTTGCCTGTACCAGGCCAAGGCAAACTCAAGGAAAGGATAAAGATGAAAGTTGTGCCCCCAGATGGCCAAAACTCAACGATGGTTTTCATCCAGAGATAGACAAACAGATCAATAGAACATGGCAGAGAGTCTAACACTTGACAGATGACAGAAGTGGCCCTGAAGGGTCTAGGGGGAAGAGCTGAACTAGTGAATAAATGGAACTTTTGGATGAAAATATTGAAGGTTTATCTTCATCACCTTGAGGTAGGGAAGTGTTTCTTACTTCCAGACAAACCAAAAGTAAAAGACTGATAAAATTTAACTGTATTAAAATTCAAAACATCTATGCACCAAAATTCACCTTAAGCAAAGTACAAAGAGGGAAAGTACAAAGTACAATGAGAGAAAATACTCGCACAATACTGAGAAGGGATTAGTATTAAGAACATAGAAAGAACTCCTATAAGGTAATGAGAAAAACAACTTACCAATAGAAAATAATCAAAAGACATAAAGAGATTATTCAAAGAATTTGAAAACTAAGTGGCTAATAAACATACCTAAGCTCACTAGTAATCAGAAATGCAAACTAAAACTTCAACAAGGTCATCCTTTCACCTATTCTACTGCAAAAATTATAGTCTGATCATAATACCAAGCTTTGTCAAAGGTATTAAGCAAGAACAACACTTTTATATATTGATAGTGGGTGTTGAAATCGGTACGACAACTTTTTAGAACAATTTGGCAATATTTAGTAATGGATAGGTAAATTGTGATATATATATATATATATAGTATATATACAATATCATACAGATTTTTGATGTGCTTGTATATATCCACATAGATGAATCTTGTGATTATAGGCAGAAAAAAAGCAAATTGCAGATGAATGCATTATATACTATTATGTTATATATTATTATATATTATATATATCATTTATACAAAGCTTAAGCATGTAAAACAAGGCCATAGTAAAATAATTAAGACAACATAGGAATGATATCAAATTCAGGACAGTAGTCATCTGGAGGTGGGGGTGGGAAAGGGAATAGTGGGGACTTCAACTGTATGGGTCATGTCTTGTTGCTTATATTGGATTGTGGGCTCAAAGGTGTTTGTTACATTCTTCATGCTTTTCTGCACATCTGAAATACTTTATATTTTTAAAATATTGAATTGGTTTTTCTACATGGTAACCGCTTGAGTCAAAAAAAGTGCGAGGGTTTGAGGACTTTGTACTGAAGACTGTTTATTCGTTCTGATCTGACAACCATTTTTAGGTCTTTGAGAAAATTAAAATGCAAGCAGCCAAAATGCTTTGTCTTTATAAGATGTGGAAAATATCAAAACTGTCTGAATGTTTGGTTCAATCTGAGGAACTGAGAATGTGGTTTTGGAATCTGAGAATGGGGCTGTCTTCTGGAGGAAAGAAATATTATTAGATGAAGATATGACACGGTTCTTTTTTAAAATAACAGATCTTCACTCTGTTGGTTGAATTATGTAACACCAGGAAGTAGTACCCTGGTTCTGTTATTCCATTTAGCATATGATTCAAATTCTCCAAAATCCCACCCCCTTCATCCAACAAGCCCCAGCCCTTCTGGGGCCGTGGCCAGGCCTGGCCTAGGCAACGTGCTGCTCATTCCACGGGGTTGAGCCAGCACTGATTTAATCCACAGATAAACTGTGAACTTGGCAAATTCAGGAACCTGAGAAAGTTCTGTACTGCTTTTGGGGACGGGTTTCCAGCCCTCCTCTTCTGCGTGGCTCCCCACTGTTGGAAGCCTGGGGGTGTCTCCATGCAGGGCCCAGCAGAGAAGGTGCTCAGGAAGGGACTGCAAGCAGGAAGCAAGCAGGCTTTCCCATCACTTCTGCTTGGCAGTGAGAGGCCCCTGTCCAGGGCTAACATTCTTGCCAGAATAGACTTCATTTTCTCCTACATGGCCAGAAATACCTTAACTTAGTGTAAAAGATCAGGTCTAATTTTAAACCCACCTGACTCCTCTGTTTACATACTTATGAGTGCTTCTGATGCAGCTCATTTTGAAATGAGCTGATGTCAACATGCTTTGGTGCTAACTTGTTCATCGTGACATTAGAATTTTACTGACATTATAGCGATTATTTGAGACGGTCTGAGGGTCTCAGTTTACCCTGCCTTAACAGATGGCCTCCAAAATCCAAAAGTCAGGAGGAATTTCCGTCCTACCCCTTTGGTTACCAAAGTTTCTCTCTGGCCCCTCATTTCCTAGGGAAAGACATACTAGTAGCTAAATATTCACAGATTCCTGGGAACAATGACATGGCAATTGACAGAGCTTATACAAATTCTCACTGGTTTTACTAACTACCTCCATTCCAGACCTTGTGTGCTGATCCTTTTTCCCGGGGAAAATGTTTGTAGAGAGAGCGGAGGTGGGAGAGAGGGTCATGATCAATACTCAAGCCCAAGAGAGGTGAGCCCCTCCATCCCCATCCCTACTCCCTAGACCCCGGTAGTCAAGACTCTTTTCTTCCTGGCATTAATAGATTTTTGCAAAGGCTACTTATCCTCATTAAGAAGATTTGCCCCAAATTCTAGCTGAAGTGAGAAGAGATGTAAAGGGATGCCAGCTAAGAGAGGGAAACAGGTCCTCAGCCCCTGCCTAATCTCCTTTATGATGACAGAGCCCAGGGACGCTGTACCTGGCACCACAACAAGAAAGAATCATTCACCCATTAGCTGGAATTAGTCTTCAAGAGCTACCTTTTTAAAAGAGTGAAATAACCCCTCACTGATCCTTAGTAGAAAATGTTTACATAGCCGCGTATTTATCTAAGAAACGTAAATTGAATTTCTCAACGTTCTGCTCCTCTTAGCTAAATCTGTTTAAGCATTTTTGTGTGAAATAGGTATTTCGATTCTTCTGTTAAAAATATAGACATCGACAGAGACAGAGTCAATAAATTGTTAACTGAACCTCCTGGGAGCCAGGCATTGTAAACACCTCTCGGAACTAAGTAAAGAACTCCCAAACACTGGCAATAGAACATCCGACACCGTAAATAAAAGCTGTTTGGTGTCCTCCAGATTCTTCCAAGGCCAACGCACTCCGATCTGAAATCAGTCCCTACATGGGTGTTTCTCATTTTTCTTTAAGTCAACAAAAAACCCTGAAGTTTCCAGGATCCAGGTGAATCTGGGGGAGCCGTGACATTGCTGTTTTTCTCTTTGATTTTATCTGCAGGGCTTGGGAGAAGTCAATTGTGTTTCTATTATTCCTTAAACATCAAACAAGAAGCTTTTGTCCCACTGCAGAAAGACAAAAGGGGGTGCTGGCTTCTACACTAGCCTGCAAGCTGTCCCCAGAGGGACCACGTTTGTGTTGCTTGTCTTTGTGCCCCAGGGCCCTGCCCGGTCCCTGGCAGCTGAGTGTGTGCCATATTTGCTAGATGAATGAATAAGGACACAAGTGGACAAGGAGGTCATCTGAGGAAATTCATATATGGAGCCTGAAGACATGGCTGGACCACGGGGCTCCAGGGATCCATCAGCTACCAAAACCTCCAGTAGGGGAGCTTCGCCGTGGGTAGAGCATTACAAACTTCCGCCCCCCAAATCGAGGCAAGGTCAGTGGTTGCAAGAGTGCTGTTGGCTAGGTGCTCCTTCTCGTAGCAGTCCTTCATGGCTGCCGGGGTCGTTAAGACACAACCTGAAGCATCTAATGTGGAATTAAAAAAATTATTTTTGACATGACTGAGTTTGGAGAGCTAGGTTCCTAAGGGGCCCCGGAGACAAAGCAGCTGAGACAGGAGCCATCAGTTGGTGTCTTCCTAGCTCTGGTCTACCTCTGTGCCCCAGAGCTCACGCCTTCCCAGTGTGGTTGGAGGGGTGGCTCGGTGGGGGCAGCTCTGGCATGGAGGTTAGCTGACTCAGTCACTCTGGCTTTAGAAAACCACAACAGCTAAATACCCAAGCTCACAAAGAAGCGTATCTTCTGGTTTGGGCAGGAATCCCTCACCTTCTGCAGTCAGGACTCAAGGCCATTCATTTATTTTCATAGCAGCGCCTCTGCAGAGCTGGACTGCGGGTGCCTCAGCCCTCCCTTCCGCCATCAACGTCCAGCCTTAAGTCCTAGAATTGCCGCATCCTTCCCATCAAGGAATGTCAGACAATGGAAGTGCTGAGGGGACACATCCTCCTTACTAATGGAAGAGCTGAAGAGCCAGCTGCAAGGCCGCGTGGCTCAATAATGGAAAACTGACAGACTTTGCCACGCCCGGTGAGGGTCCATGCCAAGCCTGTCATGCTATCACTTGTATTTTGTCTTTATATGAAATGAAGAACAAAGCCAGAGAAAGGTACATTTGTAAAGAAAGCCTCTAATGCTCAAGATCTGAAATCACTACTCCTTTGTACACGTTATCTGCTGCAACAGTATGCCCAGGGCAGAGAATCACCCAGAAACTCATGAACTGTGCCTCGGTTTTCACGTCAGTCCTCAAGGCTGGCCTTAAGAAAAAAAGGTACCAGAACCCAAAATACGTGGGAGTGGGAAATGTCTTCAAGGGTTAGAAGAACACCAGTAGGCTTTCCTTTACGAATCTTTACCAGGCAGGCAGAGGTGATTTACTCAAATGATGACCTTGGGAGAATTGAAAGGACAAACTGAAACACAATTCATCAGCTCACATTTTCCTGCAGAAACAGGGGCACACCCGAGCCCTGCGCAGGAACCAGCCTTGCCCTCACTGGGCCCACATCTTCCTCCATACCCACCCGTTCCTGTGGAGATGTTTGCAGAGCCCCCGCAATATGCCCCCCTGTGTCCATCTCAGTGGCAGAGCAGACAGGGGCAGGCTGAAGGCCTTTGTGAGGTGACATGTGAGTTGAGGCTTGTAGGATGGGGGGAAGGTGGTGGTGGGGTCCCAGGCAGGAGGACTGGAAAGTGTTTGAGGAAGCATACTCTGATTCCCCTTCTCTGTCTCTCCCTCTCTCTCTCTCTCTTTTTCTCATGTGCACACACAGAGCCCTGCAGCTCCCTTACCTGGAAACCCACTAATTCTGAGCCCCACCTGCTTCACAGGTGGGTAGGCAGCCTCCCTTGACAGAAGGACAGATAAGGTGGGACCAGGGGCCCCAGGACAAGGGACATAGGAGATGAGGAAGAAAGGGGGGCCCAGGGACTGCCACTCACGCAGCTGCTGAGAGCGGACCCCATCTGCAAAGCTCTCCCTGAGTGTCTGAGTGCCAGCCTAGGAAGTCTGCTTGGCATCCTTGTCTCCCTCACTCCTCACCTCCGAGCTGCCATGTGCCGTGGCTTCTACATCCTTATCAACATCCCTCGACTCCCCCATGACTTTGCTCCATCCCCTGGCCATTGTCTTGGAGCAAGCTACCATCATCTTTCTCCAGGACAACTGCAACACAAACATTTAGACGACAAATGCCTCAGCGGGACTTGCTATTGCGGGGAATCCGGCTGCGTACCCACATGTCGGTCAAAGCAGCCAGCTTTCTGTATAGAAGCCAGACTTGCCCATTTCGGAGCCAGACAGAGCAAGAGATTTGGACCCTCTTCAAGCTAAGCCCTTTGGGCTGCCTTTTCGTGGCCGGTTTCCCTTCTGATATGGAGCTCAGCTGTCTTGCCCGAGTCCTTCCTGAGCCGGCGTGGTCACACCAGCCATTCCTTTTTTAAATTATTTTTTTTTAAGATTTTATTTATTTATTTATTTGTCAGAGAGAGAGCGAGCGAGCACAAGCCGGGGGAGCGGCAGGCAGAGGGAGAGGCAGGCTCCTTGCTGAGCAGGGAGCCCGATGCAGGGCTCGATCCTGGGACTCCAGGATCATGACCTGAGCCGAAGGCAGACGCTTCACCGACTGGGCCACCCGGGCGCCCCTCACACCAGCCATTCCTGACCATCACTCTTTCCACTTGTGTAAGGTCACACTGAATTTATGCAGGAGATTTTGCCTTTCCCTCCGTTGCTGGCCACGTGCCCATGGGGCCTCTTCCTGGCAGCTGGTGACGCCTATGGCCAGCAGGGCTGGACTTCTCATTCCCACCTAGCCTACAGCAGGCAAGGGAGGCTCCACCTTTTCCACAGAAGATCAACGCTAGATGACCTTGATCCCTTAACCATCCGCTCCCACGGTTATCCTGTATCAACCGATGGATCACCTGGAACGTCTTCAAGCGTGCTTCTCAACCCAAGAACAGGATTTTTTTTATGTGAAATTCATGGCATGACCTTCCTCTTTCCAAAAAGGACTGGAGGGGACCTGCTGCAGCCCGGCAATGGGTTTAGTCAATGACCATTAGGAAAATCAGGATCAAGGACAATAAATAAGACCACACCTGAAAACAGTGTGGGCTAACATGGGGCTGTGTGGGGACTCCAAACTTGCTCTGGATTTCCTGGTATCCAGGGCAACCAGGAAAACACCACGTAGGCTAAAGGGAAAGTAAAACTCAGTGGTCCACTGACAGAATGACAGTGCATGAATTATGTATAAAAGACAGCTGTCAACCAGAAGGCTCTGGGTGCTTGGCCGGCTGGAGGAACGGCTGGTCTAGGGTCTTGATCCATGATCACATGAGACCCTTCCAGGGTCTACATCTATAATCTCATCTACAATCTATGAATAAAAACCATTTTCCTCTGCCTTTCTTCAACTGATTCATCATAGTGGGTTTTGAATTTCTTGGAGAGAGGTCACTCACAGAACATCATGTTATTCTTTTATGGAAATGTTTAATGTTGGAAGCTGTGAAGCAGTCAGGCAGTGGAATAACCCTGATGAGGACAGTACTCACTAGGGAGGCCAGATGAAGGGGGGAGGCCACCCCAACTTCATCCTGTCACTGGGTCCAGGATGAGTCCCAAGAGGCTACTGCTCTGGGAAACAGTCTTTAGGAACCCTTTTTTGCAGGCTTTCCCCTGGATGAAAATGTTGGCAGTGACGCCCATCCTAGAATCAAACCAGGTCTCTATGTTGCAAAAGCATACGGAACTTTTGCTGTGGAAATTTCCATCTGGAGCCAGCAGATTTCTCCCATTGTGCCCTGGAGGCAGATGCCTTTGAAAAACAGATCAATAATAATTGTTTTCCTCTCAGTAATTTAATCTCATGGTCTGCTTTGTTTCTCGTGCCTTCCTGTTTTTTTTGTGCGCCCAGGACCATGCCCAGGCCATTCAGCACAGGAGGGCACATCTGGAAAAGCCCGTGTTCACTGGATTCCTGTTCCACAGTCGAAAACTTGGGGGACAGAACTGTTGTTATGATAAAAAGGAGAGAAACACTCTGCCTGTAGCTTTACTTTAGAAAGCTGCTGCTGGCTCCGCGGAGCCGGGTGCTAAGTATGGCGACTGAGAAAGTCGGGCTCAGCAGCAGACAGATGTGCAGGATGTGTTTTAGGTCTTGTGTGCGTGCCCCAGCGTTCACAGTGTGGCCAGCCCTGTCCTCAGATGGGCACACGCGGAGGAGTGGCAGTGGGGACCACGTGGACGACAGCACGCATGACTGACGGACATACAAGTTTCAACCCTTTCTTCCCACATTCTGGCAAATGGCCTGATAGCTTTAAAATGTCAAAGCCATGGTGTTTGGGACTGATGGTTAATGAGGCCAAACTAAAGGGAAAAAATGTCACTAACTTCCATGGCAGTCTTTGGGAGTGATGAAACTTGACAGTTTCTCGAGGCTGAGCTGATTTTAAGCCCCGTGGGTGGGTATGGGGCCCAGAGCAGTGATCTCAACCTTCCTCCAGAAGTTAAAATGCAGATCCTTGGGCCCAGGAACTCCTGCCCCAGAGTCAGATTCAGAAGGTCACCCTCATGCAGGGCTTTAACATCCCATGCTTGGTGAACCTTACTTAAGAGGAACCTGCCCATATACAACTTACTTGTTTCCAGGCGCCTCAGGCCCCTTGCCAGTAGGACAGGGCTACTAAGGTCTGACCTGCTGGGCTGTGAGGATTAGGAATGACGTACGAGCCACCCTGGGCTGCAGCCAGCCTGGCTCTGAGCCTGTGATGGATCGTGGTACCCGCCCCACCCCACCGGGGACAGCGGGGCCCTCATGAAGGTTCACGTGGCCCCTGCTCAAGTTTCTTGGGCATCTGCTAACATTTGCCAGCTTCCCCCATTCCTGGGGTCCCTCCCCGGCCCAGAGTTGAGTGGCTAGGCTGAACCCTCGGAAGAGGAATCGCAGTGGAGGCTCCCAAGGGCAGGCAGTGTCTCGGCCAGGAAAGCTCTGTCCTCTCCTTCTGGTGCTCTGTGGCCCCCTGGGCCCCACTGGATCCTGTCACTCTCTATAAAGCAGCCTCACTTCCCTCCCCTCATTCTACCCCTGGGATGATGTGGGGGGAAGAAAGTCTGGGTGTTGCTGTTACCACCATTTCACAGAGATTTCTCATCTTTCTCAAGCCTCTTGCCTTGATTCTTGGCCCATTCCAGTCCATTCTCAACACTGTCCTTACTGTGTTTCTTTTTTTTTTTAATCCAAAGTACAAATATAGACCTGTGGTGCCTTGCTTAAAATTCCCTTCACGGCGCCCAGCTGCTTAGAGCAACATTCAGAAAACTTTTTCTGCAAAGGGCCACACGGTAAATACTGTCTCTAAATATAGAGACAAACATTGAGGCTTACTGTATAGCACATACATAACAAGAGGGAGAGCAAACTTCCTCGAGTTTGTTTTATCAATGAAATTACGAGTAGGTGTTTTTGTAATCTAGTTTTACTCAGGAGAAGAATGGGTTTCTTTTTTGGTGCAGGTAAGATTTCACTCAGTGGGGGCTCGGTTTATGTTCCCTATACTCCAGTCAATGATGACAGGTTTTATGACTATCTGTGAAAACCATTCTTACCTTGGCTTATATCCTTAACTGTAATGAAATAAACACAGGCAGTGAACTGGCCATTGTTTGGGACCCCTGCTTAAAGGATCAAGTCTCAGGCCCTTAACCTACAAACATGGCTGCAGAGACCTGCCCCCATGTCTTTCCCGGACGATTTCCCGACAGAAGAAGTTTTTGCTTCTTAAAGAGGCTTCACTCTCTCACCCCTGAACCTCTTCTCCCGCCCCTTTTACAACCTGGGAATTCCTATCTCTGCTAAAAGGCTACACTCTTTTTCAGGACTACTTATCTATGGGCACCTTCCCTAAGCCCCTTCCCTCCCATAGAGCCCAGTGTGGACCGGGAGAACTTAGCACACAATACCACAGTTGGGGGTTTACAGTCTGCAACTCCCTCACTGTTCTGGAATATTCTCAGGGAGGAAGCTACTGGATGCCTACTGGGCTCACTGCAAAGGCTTCAAAACCAGGGAGGGGCTCTAGGGACCCTGTCCCAGGTGTTCTGACTATGGGACCGTATTTACTGCACTATCTCCACGCTGGGCGGTCGTGGTGCCCGCCCCGCCCCCCCACCGGGGACAGCGGGGGGCTGAGGGCACCCTTGAGGGCACCATGTTCTTACATCCTACCACACCCCTGGCCTCAGCTGACTGATCCAGGGTGAGCACTTGATTCAAGCCAGATCTATAGCCCTTTCCCTAGGATCTTTCAAGCTATGACTGAGAAATGGCACAAGAGTAGGAAGTAAAACTCTGGAGGGCTGGCAGCCATGATCTCCATCTTGAAGGGAGTGATTGCCATGACAGAGGAGGAGGAGGATGTGGAGAGATAAGCAGGCAGGAGTCCAGGGCAGAGATAGCCTTGGAACATTCTCTTCAGGCTCAGCTGCATCCTGCTCTGCTAAGCATCTGCCTGTTGGCCCTTCCCTGGAAACCACAAAACAATAGATACCCCTTTATACCTGAGCTAGTTTGACTGTTTTCTGTCAGCGGTAATCCAAAAACTCCTTCTTATCCTGATCTTGGCATTCTCCCCACTGTGTCACCGGTTTCCAAATGTTTTTTAAGGATAGGAAGCCCTCGTTCAAACAAAATCTTGCTGAGAAGCCCGAGATGTGAACTGGGTGAAGTGCAGGATAGATCGCATAGCCCATACTCCTTGGTGCCAAAGCCCCACTCCAACAACTCCTGACCTTGCAATCAATGCTGAGACACTTAGACTTTTAGCCTCAGTTTTCCTCTTTGTAAAAAACAGTAGAGGTATCTGACTCTTTGGGTTGCTATAGGGCTTAAATAGTATATGTAAATCGTTCAACACAGTGCCAGGGATATAACAATCAGTCAATAAGTATGAGCTCAGAAGTGGAGGATGGAGAAACCCAGGGCAACTGCCACCTTAGCTTCCCTCCTCCGTCTTCCCTCAATCATATCTTTGGCACAGGTATAATGCTTAAATTATCTGAAATGATTAGTTTAACATATCTTCTGGGTTAGGCTGGAAAGTCTCATGGAGACAAGAAGCATATTTGTCTTGATCATTGTTTTTCCCCAGGTCTGCAGAGCACAGCTACTGATGCACAGAAGGTGACCGATAACTACCGTTGATTATGTGATAATAGATACATGTATCATCTTGTTAAAAACTAGGCACCAAGGGGGGTGGGGTGGGAGGGATGGGGTGACTGGGTGATAGACACTGGGGAGGGTGTGTGCTCTGGTAAGCGCTGTGAATTGTGCAAGACTGTTGAATCTCAGATCTGTACCTCTGAAACAAATAATGCAATATATGTTAAGAAAAAAAAAAAGAAGAAGAAGAAGAAGAAGGTAGCGGGAGGGGAAGAATGAAGCAGGGGAAATCGGAGGGGTAGACGAACCATGAGAGACGATGGACTCTGAAAAACAAACTGAGGGTTATAGAGGGGAGGGGGGTGGGAGGATGGGTTAGCCTGGTGGTGGGTATTGAGGAGGGCACATTCTGCATGGAGCACTGGGTGTTATGCACAAACAATGAATCATGGAACACTTCATCTAAAACTAATGATGTAATGTATGGGGATTAACATAAGAATAAAAAAAAAAAACTAGGCACCACCCATGTTACCAAACCTGATGCCTTCTGCCACAGATTCAGAAAAATCGTAAAAAGAGAAGAAGGCTCAACGCATAGGGCAGCCCACTCAGAACTAAAGTTAATTTCTTTTGGTTTGGTCAGTTATGTTACTTAGAGGTTCCCAGGTTTTCCCCATTTTAAAACTAATTCATGTAATGAAAACACAACATGATAAAATTTATGAGATGCATCTAAAGCAGTAAGAAAAGGAAAAGTCACAGCCTAAAATACTGTCTCAGTAAAAATGAAAACAAATGAATTCAATTCCCAATTCAAAAAGGAAAAACTCCAACAAAGTAAAACAAAATAAGTCATGAGAAAAGAAATAATAAAGATAAAATCAGAAATTAGTGAAACAGAATAGGAAGGCTATTGACCTATGGAGTTTGAAAAATTGACAAAATAGACAAACCACTAACTAACTGAGTCAATGAAAAAGGTGAGGAAATCCAAATATAAAATGAAGAAATTACAATGGGAAGATAACTATGAAAAAAGTGGAAATTTTAAAAATTCATGGGATTACTTTGCAAATCAATCTAAAAATGATAGTGAAATAGATAAATACAGTTTACTAAAATGACCTCATCAGAGATAGAAAGCTTCAACGGAGCAATTTTTTATAGAGAAATAGAGAAGATTGTCAAGAAATTTCCCACCATTCAAATTAGCACCAGACCTAAAGAGTTTCACAGGGGGTACAAACCTTCAAAGGCTAGATAGTTTTAGTGCTGCATAAATTCCTTCAGGGATAGAAAATAAAGGTAAACTTCCAAATTATTTTTATGAAGCAAATATAACATTGTTACTTAAACAAATACCACTTACCAATACTGGTGCAAAAAATCCTAAAATAAATGTTAGCAAACAGAATCAACATTGTATTGAGAAAATAGTTCAATATGACTAAGGGGATTTATTTCAGGAATGCAAGGTTGGTTCAATATTATAATAAAATATACCATATTAAGTGATCTAACAATAATCATATGATTATTTATTTCCATTGATGCTGAAAAACTCTTTAATAAAATCCAGCACTTATTTCTAATAAAAAACACTCATGAAAATAGAAATTGATGGATATTTCCTTATCATGATAAAATATATAAACCTTAGTCCAAAGCCAGCATCTACTATATGAAGAATCACTACAGGCATTCCCACTAGGATCAAAACAAGAAAAGGATGCCTATTATCTCTACCCTTACTTATTATTGTACTAGAGGTAAGAGTCAGTGCAATTAGACAAGAGAAATCAATTAGAGTCATAAGAACTGGAAAACAGAAAGTAAAATTATTTGCAGATGATGTAATAGTACACCTGAAAAACCTGAAAGAACTAATGCTCAAATTAACTCAAAGAGGGCGCCTGGGTGGCTCAGTTGGTTAAGCGACTGCCTTCAGCTCAGGTCATGATCCTGGAGTCCTGGGATCGAGTCCCACATCGGGCTCCCTGCTCAGCGGGGGGTCTGCTTCTCCCTCTGACTCTCCCCCTCTCATGCTCTCTCTCTCTCAAATAAATAAATAAATCTTTAAAAAAAAATTAACTCAAAGAAGAAAAGAATTAAGCTAGCAAAACAAAAAATAATAGAGAGAAACCAACAGTTTGCACACACACACACATATACAGTCAAAAGGTATAAGACTAGATAAAACTCCATTATAACAGCATTAAGGAAGAGGAAATGCTTAGAAATCTGCCTAATAAGAAATGTGCAGAACTTATCTAGGAAACACTTTAAAATGTGCCTGAATGATACATAAGTAGACATGAACAAATACAAAGACATCCCTTGTTCTTGGGTAGAATGACTGTACATCATAAAGATGTCAGTCTTCCAGAAGTTTATAAATAACGTGATCCTCCAAAAAATACCACCAAACTTCTTATGGAGCTAGACAAGTTGATACTAAAATTCATGTGGAAAAATAAATATGCAAAAATGTCTAGAAAACCTGATACCCTAGGGAGATAAAAAACCATGAGGGGAGTCGAGTCCTACCAGCTATTAAATCATGCTATGAAATCTCTATAATTAAGACAATGAGGCACTGGAATTTGAATAAACAAAAAGACAAATGGAAGAGAACAGAAATCCAGAAATCCACTCAAGTATATATAGAAGTGTAGTACATGATGAAAGTGTTCTCTCAGATCACTGGAGCACAGATGGGCTCTTTAATGAAACGGTACTGGGCAACTAGGTAGCCATTTGAAAAAAAGATAACATTAGATCCTTACCTCACACCTTCCACACAAACAAACCCCAGATTTTAAAGAAACAAACATATAAATACCAGAAGAACACACACAAGAATTCAAGAATTCCTCCATAAACTGTACAAAAAAGAGTACAATAAAATAAAAGATGGATAAACTGCCCTAGGCAAAAACTTGAAAATATCTGCATGGTAAAAAATCATTGATAATTCATTTAACAACATATGTGTATAATAGGATGACTATATTGTTCTTCCAAAAAGTGTTGGCTTAGCTTGAGTGCAAAAGTGACGTCATCTTACTTATAAAGTTAGTAACTTACTGATAAAGTTTCATTTAAAAACAGCATGGTGGAGGGAGAGAAAGCGCCCTGTGGGGAGAGTTTTCTCCACGTTAGTATTGGCTCCAGCTTTACCTTCTTCAGTTTCTTGTGGGCCCCACTGTGGTTCCCCTGAGCCAGGTCGGCCCCACCCAACAGCCGGTAGGTCTCCGCCACCTCGGGACTGAGATCACCAAACATGGCCACTTTGGCTTCCAGGGACTCTCTCAGGATTGAGGATGCTCTCTGTGAAAGGAACAAAGGTTAAAGTTTGGTTAGAAACTTCAAAGGCTGGTAAAGATCAACGCCCCTTAAGGCTGGGTGGCTCAGTCGGTTAAGCGTCCCACTCTTGGATTCGGCTTGGATGTTCTCTCCCTCTGCCCCTTCCCCGACATGCGCGCACGCACTCTCTCTCTCTCTCAAAAAAGAAAATGATGTAACTGATGTGTATTTTCACTTTTCAGGGATTGGGTTTGGGTAGTGTCTCATGAACTGAGCCTACTTTTCTCTTTAAACAGGACACGGGAAATAGCATATACGGGGGCAGGGAGGTGTTAACCATGGAGACAGAATGCATGAAGGACACCTGGAGAACGAAGCCACCTCAGGTATTACAGGAATTCATTTTAGCTGAGTAGTAAGAACAGAAGCTAACATGTATCGCATCCTTTAGGTGCCAAGAACTGCGCTGAACAGTGTACCTGCCTGAGCTCATTAATTCTGTCTCCTTTAGATAAGTACAATGTTAATCCTCACTGTCCAGAGGAGGAAACTGAGGCACAGAGCAATCGGAAACTCACTCAGGATCAGACAGTTCCCCAGTGTTTGACCTAGGATCTGAATCTGGCCCATAATTTTAATCCTTTTCAGTTGCAGGCTCTTTTTCCTTCTGCGCACAGTGACGTTCTTACATAAGTGAAAATTAGAGTTTCCTGGCAATTTATGTACTTTCAAAACATCCAGAATATATTCCAGGCGTTTCTATTTCTCATAAGAAATAGTTTAGGAAACCAAAAGCAAACATTCTAACATGGCAAAAAAAAATTAAATATATTTGACATTTTGTGTGGTTTATTGGATTTATTTACACCAATGTGGAGTAAAAAACATGAGTTGGTCAGAAACCAGGATCTTCTGACATTAATCTCTTCAGTCAGACCCCAAGACGTACAGAGGGAAAGTCCTGCCTGTCCATCCCCCACATTTCTTCTGAAATTCTTCCATGGCCTTGTACTTTCATGAAAGCATGATTATGGCAATGGAATACAAATGCTGAATTTGAGAGCCAAAAAAGGCTGGAACCCGTTAAAGGGCTTCCCCCACCAAACAGTCCTGAAGGCATCCTGATAAGCGCTCCACGGGCAGAAGGAGCTGACAAAGCTTTACTCAGTTTATGGGCAATAATATGAGTTAAGTGCTAGGGGTGGGGTGTGGGGTGTGGAACAGCGAAGGCATTGATAAGGCAGAAACAATTTCTTTGTGGAAAGATGAAACACCCTAGGAGCAGAGAAACTGTAAATTGTGAAGTGTGTGACCCACCTTGGTGCATGGGGAACCTGCCTGACACTGAAGCCCAACCCCCAGCATCTGTGAGCAAGGATTTGGCAAGGTGCAGGTGCTGGGCTTGGCAACTTCTCCATGGAAACTGGTCGTCAGGTTTTGAGGAGCCGATGATGGAAAGAAGAGCCGACTCTTTTTGCTAAATGAGGCTTTCAATGCCATTTCTAGCCTGGTGGGGGAAACTAGAGAGAGATGTGCATGAATTTGAATGGCAGGTGGAGATGGCAATGGAAGAGATGTCACATGGGTGGAAACAGAGATGGCGTCAGTCTGTGAGAAGCAGAACAACGTAACGGACAGGAATGAAGGAAAAATAGGACCCGGGTGGGCTAAGGAGAGGATGCGTGGGAACTGGGAGCCCAGGGGTGAGGTGGGAGAAGGGCAGGGCCAGCCAGTGGGCTCATCTGACTGCAGCACAGAGAGTAGGAAGGGGAGCAGGGGGGAGATGAGGCAGGAGTTGCAGGCAGGGCTGGTGGTTGGTGGAGGGCCTTCATGCCAGGCTCGGGAGTTTGGATGGGAAATAAGAAGCTGGAGAAGGTTCTTGAACAGAAAACTAGAAGAGAAGCCCCACACAAGTGTCTTAATCTGTGGCAGAGTGACCTTCACTTACATTTTACCTTAAAAGTCATTGTCCTTCCCAAAGATCACCTTCCTGCTAGCACAGGGCTCTAGCCCATGTAGGGGCAATGACCGCATCTGGGGTGGTCTGAGCACAGAGCCGTGCTCATGCCTGGGACTGTCCTCGGGCCCAGCCTTGTTGGCCACCTGCAAGAACCCACAGGGAGAGGGCTGCAGCCAGGGTGAGCACTGTGCAAGGCTGCCACGTCTGGTTGGGTGGGTTGTGTCATGCACAAGGACAGGAGAGTGAGGACAGCTGAAATCCAGCCTGTGTGCCGCTCTGCAAGCAATGTGCTCTGGCACGAGGGGCATCCACCTGAGGAAGAGGCAGCTTTTTCTATTCTTACCAGGGCACCAAAAGGGCTGGCAGGGGACAGAACGAAAAGAGCCAGTTTGCTAAAATCTCTGAGGGAGGTAAAGGGGAGCAAGGTATATCTCTAGTTCAATACCACTGATTTGGGTGACTAAGGCAAGGGAGGTGAAGTGTGGCATCAGTGACAGATACCAGGGCAGGAAGCCAGACAAAAACGGGGGAGAGGGCGGATGCCCTGTGGTAGCCAGAGCAGTCAGGCAACCCACAGCCAAGCATCCACCCACCCATCTGCTCATGGCTCCCCACCGGGAGCAAGAGGGTCCCTGCTCTCACGGAATTCGGTCCAGTCAGGGGAGAGATGGTACACATCCACACATAACTTACTATTCTTATTATATTGTTACGTTATTCCTATACCGTGCTTATCATATTTTTTAAAATTATTTATCTGAGAGAGAGAGCGAGCGAGTGCATGTGTGGGAGGGGTAGAAGGAGAGGGAGAGAGAGTCCCAAGCAGACTCTGCGCCCAGCATGGAGCCCAACCTGGGGCTCGAACTCGTGACCCCAAGATCATGACCTGACCCGAACCAAGAGTTGGATGCTCAAGCCACTGTGCCACCCAAGCACCCCTTATCCTATTATTATGTCAAAAAGGATTCTATACAATAATGGGAAGAATCTAATGAAGACTGGGGAAAGGAATTAGGCAAGCTGATGAGTCCTCAAAGATGGATCTGCATTCGCCAGGTGATCAGTGAGGAAGAGCCTTCCAAGAGCAGGAAATGAAAGCTGACACTTCCTGAAAGTGAGGATTAGAAAAGGCCAATGTGGCCAGAACAGATTGAGGGAAGGGGGGGAAAATAAGACTGGAAATGTCAGCAGAATCCAGATTGCGTTGAAGGTATTGTGAGACATACAGGATTCTGATTTATTTTAAGGGCACTGAGAAGCCATTGGAGTAATTTGAAAATGGGGGTTCACTGACCAGATCTGCATTTTGAAAAGATCACCATCACTTCCTTATTCAGAATGGATGAGGAAAAGGCAAGAGTGGAAAAGGCAGCTGGGGGACCAGAGTCTGTTCGAGTGGTCCGGGCAGGAGGTGATGACTAGCAGAGGTGGACATGATAACCAGTACATTCTGGAGGTAAAAGTGACTGCTGAGCTGGAAGGTGTAAGGCATGATGTGGGCAGACTCCTCTTCTCCCCCTCCAGACTTCTGACCTGAGCGCTCTCCATAGAACTTCTCCAGATATTCTAGAAGCTGAGGCCCCTGGAAGGCCCCTCTCTACTTAGTTGGGTGATCCAAAAAAATATGGAAACTCCATTTGTTATGGGTCCTGCAGTCCTACTTTGGCCTGATGAACATGGGTGCATCTAGATTAAAAACTCACGTTCCTTAAGCTCATAACAATTGAGAGAATGGTGAGGGGTTAAGGGCTAGGGCAAAGCTGTAGGGGAGGTCTACAGAACAGCAGAGGAAATACAAGCTTTTCATCTCAAGGATTTGCCTTGATAGGTTAAAGTTGAAAAAAAAAAATCTATATAAATTAAGCCACAGCAAGTGGCTTTCTGGTAACTGTTAGGCTTTGCATGGAATAAGTTCCCAAGGGTTTAATTGCCAGTGAATGTAAACTCTGGGTCTTGTTCCATTTTTACAAACCATAAGAAAAGCATGCGTGTCTGGTTCCGTGGACCTTAAGCTGTAATTTCTGTGCTGTGTAGCTCTCATTAGATACGTAAATTCCTTCCATAACCCAAAATAAGGAGAGAGGAATCAGGCCCGTTAACTGCCACCCTCTATCCTAGCCAGAACCACAGGCTGTGAGAAGCAGGGTTTGCCCACTGGGTTTTCAAGGTTTCTAGCCCTTTAGAATCCCTGTGGGCAGTGGGGGGCCATGTCATCTACATTCTTATAAATAGTTTTCATTTCCCAAGACTGAGTATCTGGGAGCTGCCTAAGAGAGGCCACCTGGGTTTATTTATCCCTATCCCTGTGGGAGCCTGGTACATGCCTGAGGCTTAATGGATGCTTGCAGGGTGAAGGAGTAGCACTTTGGATATTAACTCATGTAAACAGTCAACTCTGGGCCAAACTCACTTACCTCTTTTTGTCCAGTGACTTGTAGAAAATGGCAATAATCATCTTGAATTGAAAGAAATTTGGCTTTTCCCGTCCCTTCAGCATCCTTAAGATTAGCCATGCTCTCTTGAAAATACTTCTCGGCCACATCTGAAGAAAAGCATCAAAACAACATTTGAAGATCGCTTGCAGAGTTGAAATGGAAACAGGATAAATATGCTTTTAGCGGTGGTGAACTATTTGAAAATAGTGAGTATTTAGACAAGAGGACCTAGTTAATGTGCCTGTTTTTCAGAAAAGATTTAGGTCTCAGAGGGATACGACAATTTCCTTTCCTTGGTTTTCATACATTTTAGCTCTCCCAGCAATACGGTAAGCAAAGCTAATGCAAACGGGGAAAATATTCCCCAGACCTGAACACACTGGTAACGTTTTCAGGTTGATTAACCATTAATTCTTCCTATAACTCTGGTTGCTGCCCACTGAGGGTATAGCTTCAAGGATCCACTTACTTTAATGGACTCTGTTATCTTAGGACCTAGTTTTACAACATTAAAATTTGGGAAAATATGGCTGACATGCCACTGAAGGAAGAAACCCGACCATTCCAAACACATAAACATGCTGGTCATAATATAATGGACATATTTTTGAAGGTATGCCAACCTTGAAAGCAAGAAAAGGAAAACCTCAGGTATAGAAAATGAAGAAGGAACTAGAAGCCGGAGCATGGTCCATGAGGGTATTAGAAAACAGGTATATGCTATAAGGATGGGGACTAGAGATGAGGCCTGAGGACTGGGTGTGGTAAGAAGATGGAATAGAACAACAAGCCAGTGTGGTAGGCAGCGTTCTAGGATGGCACCATATGCCCCTCACCTTTGTCTAATCCCTCCCCTGTGATGATGGGTGCAATTTGCCGATATGATGAGATATTACTCCTGTGATGAGGTTTTGTGATATGACATGGTTGAATTTAAGAAAGTGAGATTATCCCTTGGGCTTAACCAATTCACCTGAGCCCTTTAAAAGCCGAGTTTTCTCCAGTCGGTAGCAAAAAAGGCAGCCAGAGAGATTCAAAGCATAAGAGGGATTTGACAAGGAGGTTCTCCATTGGTGAGATGGAAGGAACCATGGTGTAAGGACCCAAGAGTGGCCCGTAGATGCCGAGAGAGGTCCCTGGCCAATAGCCAGCAAACAAATGGGGATTTCAGTCCTACAACCGAAAGGAAGTGAATTCTGCTAATAATAGGAACGAATTGGGAAAAGGACTCCATGCTCCAGAAGAGAATGTAGCTGGCCGATGGTTTGCTTTTAGGCTGACAGCTTGATTTCAGCCTGAGCTCGATTTAAGCCAGCCTTACAGGGCTAGACTTCTGACCTACAGAACCAAGTTAATAAACAGGTTTAAGCAATCATCATTGGTTATGCAGCAGAAGAAAACTGTCAGGAATCCCTACAATGGAGATAAAAGCAATTGTATTGGTCTGAGGTGAGGCCCCATGGTTGTCCCACCAGAGGCCATCCATGGCTAGAAAAATAGCATCTAAAACGGGGACACCATATATGGGGCAGGCACACATGTGAAGTCTGAATCTACAACAACTACTTGGTTTGGAAATTCTGAACCGAGAAATTAACTAGGAAGGAGTCTGAAACTGGAGAAATCACAGGGCTCCAGCATAGGGGTCAGCAAAGTTCTTCTGCGAAGGACCAGATGGTAAATATTTTAGGCTTTGGAGGGCACATGGGCTCTGTCTCAGCTATTCAACTCTGCTGTTGAGGCACAAAAGCTTCCATAAATGAATGGTAACACATAAATGAATGAGCGTGGCTGCATACAGTGGCCAACTGGACATTTCCTCTTGGAAATCTCACGTGTATCATGTAGCGCAAATACATATGAGCAAAAAGATAAAACATAATCTTCTGCTTCTTTCATTTCCTCTGCATTGGCTTATTTCCCCTTTATCACCTCCAATTTTGTATTTGTGCATCCTTGCTATTTTCTTGATTAGACCAGCGAGTATTTTCTCTATTTTAATACCTTTTCCAAAGAATCACCCCTTGAATTCATTTTTCTCATACTGTGATGTGAGTGCCAGGTGCTTCCAAAGAGGCCCGTATGAAAACAGCATTCCAGAAGTCACAGAGGAACAGAAATTGGGTCAGCCTATGCAGAGAGGGTGGTTGTTCCTGAGGCTGCACTCGGGAGATTGCCCAGGTTCGGGCTCTGGCTCTGCTGCCTAGTTATAGCTGTGTAAGGACTAGATCTCAAAGCCCTCATCCGACCTCAAAGCCCTCATCTGAAAAGGGGGAACATAACACTAGCACCTTCTTTATAGGGTTGTTGTCAGGAGTAAATGGGTTCATGCATATAAACAACTGAGGACATGCCTAACACCTAGTCTGTGCTCAATAAATGGTTATCATTTGAATTCAGGGACCGCTTTGAGGATCGTGGTTATGGACCTCTCTCGCCCATGCAAGGCTGACCAGGAGGGACACAGGAAGCAGAGGTGGACATTGAGACACTAACAGGACGGAAGCACTATGAAAAGAAGAGTGGTCAAAAGGCACAGAAGACCTCAGGCACACCTCGAGAGTTTTGAGAGCATCTGAAATTCACCCTGAGCATGCTGGGTCTCAAGAAATGATTCAAGTATACTCCATGTGACCTGTTTTAGAAAGGAGACACCTGAACAGTGTGTCTATCGAGTCTAGTCAATCAAGAGAAAAGTTAGGTCTGAGAACAAGTAAGTTTCATTTCTCTGCAAGATTTACTTTGCTTGGAACCTAGGCCGTTGCCGGAAAGAAGCAGGAATTCTGCTGTGAGGTGAAGTCTTCTGGAGAGGTCTCAGTGCCCACTGCCCCCCGAGTTTGTAGCGAGACAGAAGTTGATTGAATGGGAGTCCCCTGCTCCTTTCTTTCAATGGGGGTCTGTTCACTGCTAGACCAGCAGGTGGACTTCTAGGCTATTTACTCAGAATTTTCTCGTGGTAGGAGAAAATTCTGCCAAGTAGAAAATGTCTTTACTTGTAGCGGACTCACGGGAGAAAGCATTACAGATTTAATGCGCAAACTAAGTATCAATTTTGGCTACTTTGATAATCTCATGACAGCAAACGTGGGGATGATGTGGCATTTATTTTGTTGATTTTAAAAGCATTACAGAGATGAACATTCCAGGTCTAAAAATTAACAAGGATATTCAGGAGTGGAGTACTCTTGCTATTTTAATTTTCTGTCTAATTGGGAATTAACCAAAGAATGCAACTGAGCCCTTCTTTAAGACTAGAGATCTTTCATGAGTCTCAGCCTTGTTCCCCTGAGATGAGCCCTTACCATAAAGACTGGCAGATGTCAAGCGTGTAGGAAGGAACTGGGGCTGGACGAGCAGGGACCGAGTTTCCAGACCCTGGGCTTTGGCAGAAGTGGTGCCCTACTCAGATAGAGGAGGAGGCAAAAGGGATGGGAAGCATTTCCCTCGCCTTCCTGAGTAAGGAGCTGGTCTCTCAGACACAGGAGGACACAGCTGCACTCGATACCCTTCTAGCCCCATGTCCTGCTACCTCTTGGTATCCCTTCCCCCAGCAGTCACATGCTGACCAGCTGCAGGTCCCCTAGACCCGAGTGCCACCTACTCCTTTCCCTTAGCGTAGCTGATCTCACAAAGATGCTAGGAGAGAGGGAGCTGCTTGGCCTAACTCAAACCAGTGCATAAATGGCTCAACCTCTAACGCAGGGAGGCCTATTCATACTTTCCAAAGAGGATGCTTGTTAGCACACATGGATTTCTGGAAGAGCGAGTGAGAGTGAGGGAAGAAGGTAGGGAGGGGAAGGGAGGAAGGGATTTATTACTGAAACAAAGGCAGCAGGGTTACTGAAGTGAATGCAAACCAGGGGTGGTGGTGGACGTCGGAGATGGGCCCTGCCCCGGAGTCTGCCCTCTGAAGGTGCTGCCTGCAAGGTCGCTGGTCAGATGGGGTGAGGGTGGGGAGGGGTTCTCTGACGGTTGTTGGCCCATGTAAGTTGGCCACATGTCAGGCATCCTGTCAGGGCCCTTGTAGCTCAGAAGAGCCTTGAGTCTGGGAACCGAGGAAGGTACTGGGCATCCACTGTGGGTGCCTTCCCTGTCTCTAAATTTGAAACTACTTTTATCTTTACCTGGGATACAGGAAAACTCCTTTACTGTAAGACCCTGATGTACTTCCCTCACCTAACCCCCAAATCAGGTTTCTGAACTGGGAGCCACATGATCTGTCTTCACGGGGAGAGCAAATCTGTCCTGTTACTACAGCTAAGGAGTGACTCCCTGATGAGCAGTTTGTTCTTCTGGGGGTGGGCACCCCCCTGGAGGTCCATGGTGGACAAATGATTTCCAGAGAGATGGAAGGTCAAGCAGGGTGAGGAGATGCCACGCCCCAGCACGGACCTGGTGCCCTGAAGCCGGGTGTGGGGTCACACAGAGCCAGCCGTTTCAGTGAGCTCACAATGGCCACCCCCAACTTTGAAAACCGCTTCTAGAATCATCTGCAACCTGATGCCTGTGGCCTTGGCAGAAGATGAGGTCATTTTCTAAAGCACAGAAGCATGACTTAGCTTGTGAATCTGAGCCCCGGTGGCACAGGTGTCCCAAGGCCATGGGTCCCCTCCCGTTTCCACTGCAACACAGTGCTGAGGCTGTCTGTGAGTGAGCGCGAGGGCCAAGTGTGGCCCAGTGGGCAGGGGGGCTTAATGTCTCCTGGAGGCCCTGCCGGACTCTGTTTGGTTCTATGTTCATATACAGGCAAAAACAACAGCAACAACAAAAACAAAAACAGGCTTCGTTCAAAGAGCAAGAGGAATGCGGGGTTACACATTGACACGCTGGAGGTTAAGAGGCTTTTAATTAAAACAAATTCCAGTAACTCTGGGCTCATTTTCCTGAGGCCCAAAGTCCTAAGGCAAGAGCTGAACAGTGAGGGCAGCTTTCATTAAGAGGGAGGCCTACGTGTACAATGTGACGATTATCTTTTGTTAACAGTCTTGGGAAAGAGTCTGTAGTATGTACTCACAGCAAAAGCATTAAGGACCGCAGGGAATTTAGCCTGACATTAACCCCAGAGGACCTCCGTCACCCAGCAAACAAACAGACTGGACCCATTTAGACCCTGTTGGGGGCTGCTACAGGCCCTGCACAGGCAGCTGCCCCGAGGCCACCTACCAGCCCTGGTGGGAGTGGGGGCGCTGAGGGGGGTGAGGACTTAGGAAGCCCAGGTCAGGCTCTGTCCTCACCTCAAGGCCTTTGGTGGTCTACACGGAGACCCTCTTTGGGAAGAACACTTTCACAGGCCCTGGACACGGCTTCTGGGAGAGGCACACCTGCTGCTCACTAGCTGTGTGATCCCAGGAAGTCCGAGGCCATCTCTGGGGGGCAGGTTTGCATCAGTAGCGTGAGGCGACCAAGATGGCGGTAGGCTGGGTGAGGCTTGAGTGGGAGAGCATATATGAAGTGCCCGCACAGTGCCAGGAACCCACAGGCCCAGTAAGGGGCTCGGTCACCGTGGGGATCTGCCTGCCTCCAACATCCCTGCCACCAGGAAGCTGACCCCATGCCTACCTCCCCACCACTCACAGTCCCACCCACTAGTGGCCACCCAGGGGTGGTCAGGTATCCAGCAGCCTCCAGCCCCTGTTACCTGTCTTAGTAAAGTATATATGTTTTCCAGAAGCTGCCCTAAAAACCCTTTTTGAAGCCAAGTCAGGGTATAAATAACATAGGTTTTTCTGAGAAGTTCTGAACACAAATTATTAGCCAGTAGAAGAGTGAAAAACGGGACATCACAGAGGGCATGTACTTCATCTTCCCTAGCAGAGGAGTGAAGCCACAGACTTTGTTCTCAGACACAAAGATGAAAGGCAGTTTGTAAGCTAGGCTTGATGAGGTTTCAGTTTGCCCCAGGTTGTCCCTTCGTGAAGAGAGACCAACAGCACAGACTTGGAGAGAGGAAGAGGCCACCCCTTCTAATCCTCTGCTGGCCCCAAGAGCGGCCGACCCTGCAGCCCCCACCTGTCCATGCTATGGGCTCCCTGGACTTCTGGGACAGTGTCACTCACTCTCCAGTTCTGGAGTGGGCTAAGTAGTCTGTGCCTGGCCTCTGTCTAAGCCTTGCTTTGCCTCTACCTTGCAGAGTGACCCCGGACACGCCCTGGCCCTCAGTCCTTTAGATGGGATGCGCAGTAAGGTACCTTCCAGAAGTTTCCGAGACTGGGCCCTACTAAAGATGGTGGGAGACAGGGTAAGGGTTCTTCTCTGGCCTCACCCAACTTGCTCTCTGCAGCTTCCCCTTCCTCACCTGGCCTCTAGAGCACAGAGCAGGCGTGGATGCTGACATCTGCTTGCGGAGCTCAGAGGCAGGCCAGGCTCAGGCTGGCTGGGCATTTTGTAGCAAGAAATGGGCCTTGCCTAGGAGCTGAGGAAAGGTCTCTCAGAGCACTCGGGGCTCGAGGGGGTTTGGGAAGGCTGAGGAGGAAGGAAGATGGAGAGGGAAGAGTGAAGAGGAAGGGAGAGAGGTGGGTAGGTGTGGCCAGCCATGGCTTACACTCATTTCCACCAGCAGGGCTGTACCACAAACCCCACCCAGAGGCTCCCCAGGCTGGAGGTGGGGTGAGGGAGCCAGCTGGGGCAGCTGAAGAGGGCCACAGGCAGGTGAAGGCCACCCGACTGTGGCTGCTCCCAGATGGCCAGGTTACCACCATCAGGAGTCCACTGGAGCTGGGCATGTGCGTGTTCCAGAGCCTGTCTGACTTCGTGTCTCCGTCGGACACACAGGGCCCAAGGAGCATTGATAACCCAGTGGACGGGGAGTGGGCTGGGGGTGGGGTAGGACCCAGCAGAGGGGCAGGCTGAGAAGGCAGGCCACAGGAGGAAGAGTTGAGAAAAAGGAGGATCATGGAGGTATATAAAACATGAGACTCCCTCAAGAGGCAATGCCTAGCTTCAGGTACTTCTATATTTTACGTCTACTGTGCAAAATGTGGGAGATTAGGATAAGTGGGGGCCAGGGAAATATGTATCTTTGTGCATGGGGAATTACAGCTTGGGAATGCACCCACGCTCATGAGTCTGGCTCCTATAGCCAGGGATCCCACCCCCGGCCCCCAAGGCTCTGCCAGGGCCCCTTCCACCCTGCTGGGTCCGGACCCTACAGAGCCCAGGCTGTAAATGGAGCCACTTCCAAACAAGGCTGCCTGTGTGCTCGTCAGCCTCTGCCTCTCAAAGGTTTACCCTGAAATGTACTTGGCTTCCGCCCATTTCATTTTAATATCCTTTAGGAGAAGAGTTATGAACTCAAGGCCAATGGCCTGAACACTTAGCAGGGTTGGGAGAGCTGTTAATACCAAGTTTGTCTATGGCCGCTCTGGGAAGTGGGCCAGGCTCAGGTTAGTGACATTCCAGGAGCCTGAATTGGAAGTCCTTATGCAATCACAGTCCTTCGTGACTTCTAGGGCAGTTTTGTCTGCATAAGGAATGCAGGAAAGGCACAGGGCAAAGGGATTCGCTTGAGCATGGAGCCTGAAACATGCTAGCTTCTTGGCCAGTGGCATTTTGTTTGTCAGAGGGCAATGCCTTCAATGGGCATTTATCGAGCAGGCTATGGAGAATCCCCAAATGGGAGATTTTTCTCATTAATGATTCTTAAAAAAAAAAAAAAATCTGTACTCTACACAGACAGGTTTAAGCACAGGGGAGCCGAGCTGAGGTCCCCATGCCTGTGGATTTCCATGGCATTGGGTGGAACATGCAGATTTGCTCCCAGGGGATCTGGCTGGGATTACTACACTCAAAGTCACTAAAGTCCAGATCACAGTCCTGCCGTCCTGGGGGAAAGCCAGCCAGTGTGTGTGTGTGTGTTTGTGTGTGTGTGTGTGTGTTGTGGGGGTGTCTCCCCTTAGCTCCCCTTAGTTGCCAGACAAAGGTAAGTTCCAAATTCCCTCCTTTCCTTTCTCCTTGCTGGAGGCAGCAGAGGCCTGGGTGGGTTTCCCTCATTCCCACTGTGGGGGGCATTGGCCTGTGAGGGGGTCACAGAGAGATGACTAGAAAACCCAGGCTCCCTGAAAGACGGTGGGAATGCGCCCGCCCACTCCCACTGCAGCTCCTGGCTGGGCAGGGCCCAGCTCATTCCTGCTTCCAAAGGCACCCTGACTCCATGCCTGTAACGTGGGTCCCCTCGGCCCACACCACACTTAGGTATTGTGGGTAAGAGTCAGAACAAGCTCTGCATCTCACGATGCTGGACGATCAGTTGATTTGCCACAGCCTTTTCCACGTTCGCCACCAAGGGAACCAGGATTCTGACAGATGCAGTTTTCAAACTGGTGAACACAGTAGGAAGAGTTTGGGGTTTCTCCTTGCTTGTGTTTGTTTCTAACGTGCCCATTTAGATGGCTTGAGGCCTTAGGGACGGGGGCTGGGGCTCCTCTCTGCACCTGTTCCCAGGATTCATGTTGCTGCCCGACAAGCAGCTGTTCTGATCCCACGGTTTCACTGCCCAACCTCACTTAGCACTCGCTCGCCTTTAAGGCTTCAGTAAACTATCTTCCTAATGGCATCAAGGTGCAAGCCATTTCCACCGTCTTCTGATACGCAGAAGCTGAGCCCGAGAAGGGCTCATCTAGAGGCACCCTACAGACGGAGAGGGACTATGTCCTTTTTGGGTAGAGCAATAAGTAGACAGACTATAGATGGATGGACCGGGCAGGGATGGGGAGCTGGCTGTGTTGGCTCACTTGTAAAATTCAGGCTTGTGAAAAGGATTAAGTGAGCACGTGTGTGACAGTTCCAGCATCTGCAGACAAGGCCAGCTCGATTCCTGCTACTAATTGTTACTAGTAAAGCTATGCTTACCATGATTCCTGCTGTCTACGTTTCTAGCAACCAATCCACTAAGCCTCAAGCAGAAGTGACCCCCTTCCCTAGTCTGTAAAGCCAACTGCAGCTCCCTGCTCCTGGGGGGAAGTTTTCTTCTATCTTTACACTCCTCTTGTAGTTCAAATTCTCACTGGCAAGGCAGCTTGCGGGGTTCAGGCTGCCAAAGACAGAGGAGGAACCGAGAGCCCGTGTGTGTTCCTGGACTGGCCCCTGCCCCCTGGCTCTCCCAACCCATCTCTCCGGGCGGCCTCCGCTTTTCTAGTCCTTTCTCTGTCCCAAATGCTGCAGACTCCTCGGCGGGCCTAAGGGGGTGGAGGGTGGTGGGGCAAGGAAGGAAAGGTGGTGTTTGCAGACCTTTTAATGTAACAAGGAGGTCGAGAGCCTAGGTTCAAATCTGCTAATCCCTGGCTATGCGCCCCTGGGGAAATTGCCTAATCTCTCCATGCCTCTGTTTCTCCACCAGAAACTGGAAGTACTTATACCAACCTCATGGAGGTGTTGTGAAGATTAACTGAGTTAATAAATGTAACTGGTTAGAACCATGCCCGTATGAACCATGTAAGCATTAGCTGTTACTACCATTATCACTGTGTGAGGTCATTAAATTCTCACAGATCTTATTATGGTATCACTGTCATTCTCAATTTATAATACCCACACTATATTTAGACTAAAAAATATAAATAAAAATATAGGTATATATATATTTGGATTGTCTGATTCTGTGAGTCATGCAAAGCAGAGTGGTCTAACTTTGCAGTTAGAGGGAAAAACATTTCAGGACACAAATTCTATCAGTCCTCACCCAATCCATACATTTTTTAACTAGCTGAGATGCTGGCAAATGGGAATCCCTCTAGGCATAGAGGGTCTTTGGGCCTTTGGTATTCTCTCTTTTTTTTTTTTTTTTTTAAAGAGAGAGAGATTGAGAGAACAAGTGGAAGGAGGGGTGAGGAAGAAGCAGACTGCCCACTGAGCAGGGAGCCCGATGCAGGGCTCAATCCCAGAACCCCAGGATCATGACCTGAGCCAAAGGCAGCTGCTTAACTGCCTGAGCCACCTAGGCGCCCTTAGCTGTTTGGCATTCTCTTGGGAATACGCAAGGCTCCCCGATCCCTACCCTACCAGTTTAAATGCTCAGAACCCTCTGGCTGTCTGAAACCCATGAGGCCCTGAGGAAAACAGGAAGGTTCTGACAAGCATTCATCATACACCCGCTCTCCGGGTCAGAAGGTATAGGTCTGGCCCTCACACTGGTTTTGACCCAGAGTCTGAAACATATTTGAGCTAGTTAGCATCAATTACACATAAAAATCTAGATTTCCGCCTTCTCTTGAAAAAGCAGATCTGCCATGGAAGCCTGCCTTCCACTTGATGGTAATGGGCTAGAGTGAGAGACCGTTGCTCACTTTCCATAGGGTATGGCTTCTCCACTTGGCCACAGTCCTCAGCACTCCGTATTGTCTTGCTGCCACTACCGTATTGTCATGACTGTCTGTGTCACTCCCACGGCTTACTTGGTTCCTACAGACATGTAGATTTGTGACTCCTGCTAGTCTAGGGATTTCCATCAAACCTGCATTGGCATCTTAACTGTCTCAATAGCTGGGACTGGAAGGTTCTTTTCCCCCCATTAAAGAAATTTTAAGCCCCAATAAGCTGGTCAAAAAACTGCTAGCTTTTTGAAGGCTTTGAAGTTGATTGTTATATATGGAGTGTTCCAGAGAGAGGGGATCTGAAAGTTTGCCGGCCTTCTCTCTCTACCCCTAGATAGGTTGCTCCAGCTCTGAAAAGGTGCTCAAAGCTCCAGGAGACCAGAAAGAGGAGTCTGTAAGGTGGGATGGACAGATGGATAAACTCCAAAATCCCCCTCACCAGCTCCTCTCTGGACTTGAGCCCCTGCCTGGCCTGGGGATCTGTGCAGACCAAGCTGCTCATAGAGGAGCCCCCTTCATCTTCGCCTACCCACCAGCCTCTACATTGTAGCCCAACTCCTGCTCCCTGAACCTCAATTATTCTGGATCTCAATTTTAGGCTTGCTGGCACATTGGATCTTATTTTACTATAGTACACGATTATTTTTATCTGATATTTTGGAATATACCCCTAGGTCTTCTTCATGAGTTATACTCTGTTTCTGAATATTCTGAACCCCCCCCCCAAAAAAAAGTCACTGGAATGTGTGTTCTCCATCAACAGAGGCATACTGTATGCTCAGAGTCCAGAACGGTGGGTGAAAGAACTCCCCAAGCTCGCTGCTCTACCTATTTATTACATGGGGCTAAGAAAAACCGTATGAGTCATAAATGGCAACTTCCTCTTGGACTCCCGAAACCATGTAAGTTCATCCTGATGGAAAGCCCAGTGCTGTGAAAGTCTGTGGGCTGGGGTTCTGACAAGCCAGTTCTGTTGCCACAGTAGCTCCACAACAATCTTTAAAAATAGATCACCTCTGAAAGCGGAGCATTTTTTCCTGTAAGCCCAGCATGGATTCTCTGGGGCTCTTCTTAATAGCTCTGTTTGGAGGAAGATTCACTGGATTTGAAAGTAAAAGATTAGAGAAAGGCCGAACAGGACAGACGCCAAAGGACACTGTCGAAGCTAAGGGAGTGGCACAGCTACGAACGGCCACATAAAGCCTCCAAAGCTCTCCAAGGGGCCTGGGTCCCAGCTCCGGTCACCGGCCCTTCTGTCCTAAAGGCAGCTGGTCACAGACCCAGCCACGCCTGCGCAGATGGGCAGCGAGCCCGCAGGAGGTTTGCGCTCACCGTGGTGTTCGGTCCTCCCAGAAGCGATGGCCGCGTGGGCGACGAAATGTGCGGAGACTGCTGCCTCCTCTCGGGAGGGGCCACTGCTCAGCGCGATGAGATGCGCCTGTCACCAGGGAAAGAAGAAACACGTTCGTTTACCTGCTTGGTGGCAGCACTAGAGGACTAACTGTTCTTGCAGCGATAAGCAGAAAGCCGAGGCACCTTCTAGCCGGCTAGACGATATGATTTATGTGGAAGCACAGTCGATTCTTAGGAGACCTGGATCTTTTTTTTTTTTTTAATTTTTTTATTCTTATGTTAATCCCCTTACATTACAACATTAGTTTTAGATGAAGTGTTCCATGATTCATTGTTTGTGAACAACACCCAGTGCTCCATGCAGAATGTGCCCTCCTCAATACCCACCACCAGGCCAACCCATCCTCCCACCCCCCTCCCCTCTAGAACCCTCAGTTTGTTTTTCAGAGTCCATCGTCTCTCATGGTTCGTCTCCCCCTCCGATTTCCCCCGCTTCATTCTTCCCCTCCTGCTATCTTCTTTTTTTTTTTCTTAACATATATTGCATTATTTGTTTCAGAGGTACAGATCTGAGATTCAACAGTCTTGCACAATTCACAGCTCTTACCAGAGCACATACACTCCCCAGTGTCTATCACCCAGTCCCCCCATGCCTCCCACCCCACCCCCCACTCCAACAACACTCAGTTTGTTTCCTGCGATTAAGAATTCCTCATATCAGTGAGATCATATGATACATGAGGAGACCTGGATCTTAAAGGCATCGTGGAGTGGAGAGGGAAAGGCTGGGTCCAGATGGCGTGAAGCTGTGACCAGGGCACATCGCTAAGTAAATCATGTGAAAGTCTCTGCTCCTAGGAGTGTGGTAGTGTGCTGTCAGCTGAGGGGGGCATGGGGAGGCGGGGAGGAAGGTTTCAAGCAGGAAGGAGATGGGTTACCAGGAAGTGGGCGAATCTAGCCCCCTGCCGGCGCTCAGCCCAGAAAGGGGGACCCCCCCCGAAGGTGTTCGCAGCCTCCCCAGTGCCTAATCCACCAAGCCCACTGGCCTGCACCCTCTTCAAACCGGCCCATGGGGCTGCCTGAGCACAAAAAACAGCTCCGTTCCTTGAAAATAAAACCCCATTTAAAATTCCTTAAGAGGAAAAAAAAAATAAAACCTATGATCCTGTGAATATAAGTAACAGTCCTCTCAAATAAAATGCAAAATACGTCTCTCCAAATAAAAAGATAGAAAATAAAAAATAAATGAGAAAATAAAGCTATATTCATCTGACTGTGGACACGGAAAGTTTAAAAAATGCTGTTAGTAATAGGTTTATATTCATTCAATAAACACATAATTACTGATCGCCTATAGTAGGAGGGGCCCGGTCTAGAAAGTGTGGGCAGTAGGGAAAGGCACGGGAAGTGAGCATGACGTCATACAATGCACTAATGCGAGATGGTAGGTAGTTCGCAATTAATTGCCAAAAGGGTGACAGAAATACTGAAATATCACGAACCTAAAGGAGAAACGCCAGACTGGGATAGGCAAGACATACTAACAGCAACTAAGATTTCTTTCTCATTTGTGGTATCGATTTTAATTTTCTTAAGTTTTTTAAAAAGATTTTATTTATTTGTCAGAGAGAGAGAGGGAACACAAGCGCCGGGGGGGGGGGGGGGGTGGCGGGAGCAGCAGGCAAAGGGAAAAGCAGAGTCCCCGCCAAGCAGGGAGCCCGATGCGGGACTTGATTCCAGGACCCTGGGATCATGACCTGAACCGAAGGCAGATGTTCAACCGACTGAGCCACCCAGGTGTCCCAATTTTCTTAATTTTTGTTATCCATGTTTTGTAGATGAGAAAGCTGAGGTTGCAGAAGGGTGACTTGCCCAAGACAGCTCACAGCTAATAAAGGATGGAGATAAGACTCTGACCTTGATACTCTGACTTCAGATTTGCTTTTTATTCTACCCTGGCCCCTGGTGGCAGACATCACTAATTAATGCCAGCATACTCCGCACACCCCCCAGGAGCTATGACTGATCCATGGGATCTGGCCCAGGAGATAAAGCCATACAATTATACTTTTTAGTCCAGGGCTGCCTGGGTGGCTCAGTCGGTTAAGCGTCTGCCCTCGGCTCATGGCATGATCTCCAGGTCCTGGGATCGAGCCCCGCATCGGGCTCTCTGCTCTGCGGGGAGTCGGCTTCTCTCTCTCTCTCTCTCCTTCCTTCTGTCCCTCCCCACTGCTCCTTCTCTCTCTCTCAAATAAATAAAATCTTAAAAAAAAAAAAAAAAAAAGAACTTTCTAGTCCAGACCAAACAGTGAGACGGCAAAGACATAGAGACTTGGTCCCCTGATGATCAGCTGAACCCATTTCTGAGCTGATAATCAGGGTAGACGCTAGACTGTCGCCTCATTTGTCATATTTAAAATCAGCTGAGTTACTAGCTTGGCTTTTTATGATAGGGGCTACTCCAAATCAAGATTGCTGGTCATAACTTTAATTGTTGTGTTAGAACAACCAGAATTTCATATTCATAAATGCTAACAATATCCTCTGTTTTAGAACTACTTTTCTTATTATAGGATATAAATAAATATATAAATTGAACAAGTAATTTCGGCGACCTCCCAATTAGTCATTATTCTCAGTATGGCCTGAAGCTCTGACTTGAAATGCTTTTCAAATAATGCACACTCCAAAAAGTAAAGACAATCGGAGCCACAGGGATAGAGTCAAAGCATCACACGGTCAGGGTTTGCAGAGAGGAAAAAAGAGAGAGGAAAAGCCTGACCCACCCCAAATGCAAACTGAATCCTGTTTACTTGGGGTTTTCCCCTGGCTAACTATCTCCACAATCCACCACTGGGGAGAACACCCAGCGATGCAAGAAAAGATTTAAATCATACTGTTACAAAGACTTTTAACACATACAGTACTTTAGATTGATTAAAACCCAAATTCAAATTAAAAAAAAGATTTCCTATGTAGTTTCCACTCGGTATTATAATTCAAGGCAATGTAAAAGATAGATGTCTACCAAAATTATTTTCAAATTAATAATCACACGTTCTGAAAGTTCTGTAGGTTGCCTTTTGCTTCTGGAGACAGGAAGCAAAATCTTCCAAGAGCGAAAATGCTCACGATATCAAGAAAGTGGATCTTGAGAGCTTAAGGGGATCTGAATTTCACAAAATTGTCATAACCTCAACATTTTTCTGTAATTAGTGAGATACTAATATAAGCAAACATTTATTATTCATTTTTCAGAAACTCCATCCCTGATCTAATTTATATTTGATGTTCTTGAAGCTTCTAAAAACCATTTGCTGGTTTAACATTGAGGGAGTTGGGGTGGGGGAGGAAAAGGGAACCATGATGTTTAAAATGTGCAAGATTAGCATCTCATTGATTCGGTAAAATTAAATTCAGTTTAATTTAATGCAGTCCTATTCAATTTACCTTCATTTTTAATTGCTTTCTACAAGCCAGATTATGTCCTTCATCACACTTGGGGCCTTATCATAGCTTATTCTCTGCTACCTCTGGATCATGCAGCTGACAGACCCCCTTGCCCTATCACGTCCTGCCTCGATCACATCCATGCAATTTCTAGTCCTCTCTCCACTCCCCCCTTCTCACTATCCATCCGCCCCCTCCTGCTATCTCTTCCCTTCCTGGCTAGCTCGGAGCTCACCACCCCTCGCTGTTGATATAAAAAAAAAAATGTCCTAAACTTCACTGAGGCATTATTTCAAATGGTGAAAAAGGGGAAATCATCTAAATATCCATGAGAAGGGGAATGAAATATTATGGTTTATTCATACGAGGATTGAACTCTACCTAGGTATACCGACATGGTTACATTTCAGAAACATACCAGTGAGGGGAAAAGTAACTTACAAAAGGTTGTGAACATCATGGCACCACTGAGTTTTAAGTTTCTGTTCTGAAGCAAAAAACCCCCCAAAAAACCCTTTCATTCCAAATAGAATCTTCCATGTTCTCTAAAGTACAGAGCAGGTAAGAGTGGAGCTGCTCTCCCTGAAGCAGGTGGAGAGGGCCTAGAAGTTCACCCAGCTGCGCCCTAAAGACCCTCCATGGAATGTGAGGGCTCCAGAGGATGCAGACTGAGAACCACAGCTCAGCAGGGAACAGGAGGTCCCCCTAGCAAGTAAGTACAAAGGCAGTTGACAAAGCTAGTGATGAGATTACCCAATTCGCCAAACTAAACCACTGTTCACGATTCTGGAACAACACTCTGTTTGCTAAGAGAATATAAATACCCCTGTTGTATACATCTGAGAGCATTTAAGGACTAGTTGTTAGTGTTAACAGAATTACAGGAGCTAGGCTTGCCTCTCTGGCTTTATGCAGGAGCCCAAGTAATGGGCCCCGCTGGGGATCTGTGGCTTGACTACACTCGCTCCTCATTATTTATTAATCTCCCAGGGCTCAAATCTCTCCTCCCGTTCTTTGTTGTCTTCAGTATCTTATGGTTATATGTTTATCAACTGTCATCTTGAGGCTGAGAGGGAGCGTTTAATATTCCTAAATCTCTGGAGCTGTTAGCGTGTTGTACTGGGTTCATAACAAAAACCAAAACCAAACCTTTAATATCCCATATTGAGCAAGGCCCTTAACTGAAAAACCTCATTCACCAGATGAACCACCTCCAGCCCTGCCAAGGTACAGAGCAGCTGTTGCCTTCTGGTCCTTCTGCGCGTTTTGGGGGAAACCACCGAGTCCACAGCGCCAGTCCAGCTGCCAAGAATTGGAGCTGGCAGACTCTTATCGAACTGAGCCTGTCCCCTTGGATTTGCAAAATGTGTAATAGCTCTTGAAGAGAAAACTTGATGACTAGTCAAAAGGATGTTTCTATTTATGCAAGCAGACCCCATCGTGTGAACACTCAACTTAAAACATGCACGGTTCTGACGGCAGAACCCCAGCTCTTGGCAGGAGGGAGGGACGGATTCTTTTCCCATTTGGTAATAAGTAGGGGATCACTGACTCCGAGAGAAATCTCCTCTCCCATAGCCAAGCAGAGAGTACACAAGTCACTCAAGGAACATTTGTGGACCTAAACTGGGTCTC